GCCCGGGAGTGTGAGCAGAAGGCCGGAGCGTGCCGGGCGTTGAATAGGCCGTGGGCCAGCCATTCATTCTCTCATTCATCTCGGAGCCCCCCAGCCGCCGCACTCACACGCAGGGGCCACTGGCGCGGCTGGGCCGGGGGGCGGGGAACGGGAAGGGGCGGGGCCCGGGCGGCTTCTCCGGAACCCGGAGGCAAAGCCGGCAGCCGGAGGGCCCCAGAGGGCGCGCAGGGCGCCTGGGTCACGCGATCCCAGCCGCTCCTCTCCGCCCTCACGTTACCCGCAAGAAATCTAAGTCTCTAACAGGCCGAGTCCCGGGGCCACCGGGTCCTGGGACCCCGCACGGGCCGGGCCGAGCCCACCCTCGGCCCCTGGGCCGGCGACCCCCGCCTCCCCAACCGTAGCTCCGGGCCTGGCTCGCCGCCCGGCCGCTTACCCTCTCCTCCATCCCGCCCGCCAGCGGAGCCCCCCCACCCCCGGGGCCGCGCGGCTGCGGCCCTCACGTAGTTTCCCGTACCCACCGGCTTGGCTTCTCGGGTGCGCGGGCGGGGGCCAGGCTAGTCGGCGTGGACGGCTCCGGAGTCGGCGGCCCAGGCACGCTCTCCCCGCCCAGGGCCCGCCCGGGGCCGGGCCGCTCCCTGTCGTCATCCCGGTCAGGGCCCAGGCCCCGGCGCGCGCGCGCGCACCCTCCGGCCCCGCCCAGGCCGCCCCGGTGCCGGCCCCGGCCCCGGCCCGCGTCCGTGTCCGCGGGGGCTTAGTGCAGCACACTCCGCAGCCAGCTCCCGGGGACGAGGCGCGTCACAGTCATTCACACACATGCACACACGCACCCTCCTCTGGCTGACGACCGGGCCCACTCGCTGTAGTGCTGGGCGGCGTGTGTCTTATGGGGTTCTCCCTTATCCTAGGTCGCCTTTGCATCACCAGAGCAAACCCGACCCTGCCCTGCGTGCCAGGCCAAGTCAGTTCTTCCCCTTTTCTGACCGCCTCGCTCCATTCACCCTCCTTCTCCACCCACGCTACTGCTCTGAGCCGGCCAGTGTCTGTTCTTCAGGCCAGACGGGAAAGCAGCGGCATTAACTGAGCCTGTACTATGTGCACCTGGAGCTTTGCATGCGCTGGTCCTTAGATCTCAGAGCGGCCCTGTCACCTCGGTGTTGTTAGCCCAGTTCACAGGCCAGCCCACTGAGGATCAGGGAGCTGGAGGAGAAGGGATTCAAACCCAGATCCCCGCTTTGAAACACTCTGCTCCTGGTGGGCTTAAACCCTACACTCTTCCTTCCATTTACCCCTTGTTGTCCAGTCTGTTCCTGTCCCACCAAGGATCAGAATGCTTCCCCCACTGCTCACCTCTTTCCCGAGGGGTTTGCTTGAGAGGAAGCTGCTGGGCCCTGGCGAGACACTGCCACCCTTCCTCCCAGCCCAGAGCATCCCAGCTTACAAGCTTGCAGGGCCTGTGGGGATGAACCACACGGATGATCTCCCCGGTGGGTATCAGCTCCACTTGCAGGGCCATTCCGTCTGTGGATAGCCAGCGTGCTGAGCACTGGGGCCTCTGAGCAAAAGCCCGTCTGCCTGCCCGCCCGCTGGTTCTGGCTGCTCCCGGAACCAGGAATCTAGTCTCACGCTGGGATGGCCGCTTGGTTCAGCTTCAACTCCAGCCCCGGGGGATGTGTCTGGTCCAGTGCCTCAGGACACAGCTGGAGCAGCCCAGGTCTGATTGGGAGGCCTCTTGGCCCAGCAGGGTTGGGGCAGGAAGAGGAGGGGCTGAGGGACGGAGGAAATGCTTGTTGTCCCAGGTAACCGGAGGAGCTGATGCAGCCACCCATGGGGGACCCTGGGCTCCAGGTCAAAGTGTAGGAAGCCTTTCTCCCCAACAGCTACATGGTCAGGCCTCTCCAGCTGCCCTCTCGCTGGTATCAGCTGGAGAGCACAGTGACCACTCCCCAAGTCAGAATGTACATCCTCCCTAAGCCAAGAGGATCCATGAATAGGCACAGTCCCCCCCAGCTTGTCCGCCTCCCACAGCGGCAGGTGAGCCCCTGGAGTTTGAGGCGCCAGGCTGCTGGGGACTGGCCATGTTGGGCAGAGGGGTTAGCTGGAGAGGCCGGAGGGCATTGTGAGGAAGCCCCTGTCCCACCCTCCTCTGGAGCCTCAAATGCTTGAGGTTGGTTCCTGGGTGGCTTGGCGATGGGGAGCCTTAATCTTGTTTGCCCCTTACTTTTCCGCAGCACCCTCAGGTGCTCCCCACCCCCAAATGTTCCTGTTTTCCTATCTTTATCGTTGCTAAATCACAGCTGACACTTTCCTGGCCTGGGACTGAGCCCTCAGGTCTCCGGCCATTCCTTATAGGAAGTGCAAAGGGGGAAGTGGTTGGGGAAAGCGATCTTTCCAGAGGAAGATGCTGGCAGGGGAGGGGTGGAGTCCAGTGGGCCTGCGCCGCCGGCCCCCTCGGGCAGGCACTTTCCCTGGGCACCCTTCCTTCCCTCCCCTCAGCTTCCCCCGCCCAGGAAAGGCCAGCAAAGCTTCCTTCCTTCCTTCCTCTGGGAAGCACATCTATCCAGGGCAGGATCATCCCCGGCGGCCACACAATGGCCCTTATCAGCCGTGGAGCCAGGCACAGAGACCCAGCGCACACCAAGTCTCACATATTTCCTGTTTCCACCCAGCGGGTCAGGGCTGGGCCCAGAGCGGCCATATCCTGACTGGGGCCAAGAGGAGGGAGAGCACCCCCCCTTCCCCTTCCCGCCTCTCAATCATTGCTGGACTCACCCCTCCCTGCTAACAGGAGGCAGGGGTAGGGGTGTGTGAAGACTTAAGGGCAAAGGGGAGAGGTGGGCACCTAGAAGACAAGCATGATCCAGAAACAGAAGAAACAGGGGGACCCCTGGAGTCAGGAGCCCTGAGGTCCAGCCCCAGGGCTACATCAATCAGAATGAAGAGCTGGATAGACTATTTTGTTTTGTTGTTTTCTTTTTGCGGTACGCGGGCCTCTCACTGTTGTGGCCTCTCCCGTTGAGGAGCACAGGCTCCAGACGCGCAGGCTCAGCGGCCATGGCTCACGGGCCCAGCCGCTCCACGGCATGTGGGATCTTCCCGGACCGGGGCACGAACCCGTGTCCCCTGCATCGGCAGGCTGACTCTCAACAACTGCGCCACCAGGGAAGCCCTGTTTTTGTTTTGTAATTGTTCTTTCACAATAATCTTGTGAACCGGAACACTGTATTTTACAGAAACTGAGACTCCTAGAGTAGGTGGAGGTGGAACTGTCATTCGAATGCAGGGCTTGACCCCATTCCTGTGTTTCTGGTCTTGCATGACACCACAGCTCCCTGGCTAAGTCCGGAGGGATCATGCCACTCCTCTGGGCTTTGGTTTCCCCGTCTACAGATGAAGGGTGCTCTGTAGCAGCACCCACGATGGTTGTGCGTGAGAAGGAAACAGGTGGCGAGTTCAAGGGTTCAGAGTCCCTCGGGTATGTGTGTGTTGGGGGCAGGGATAGAAGTTATCATGGGGACCTCGGAGTACAGGGATCTGGGGTAGAGATGGGGCAGAGAGAAGAGATGGTGACATTTTTGGAGAGCTTAACCCAGGACCAAGGCTCAAGACTAAGGTGTGAGGGAGTGCCGGGTGAGGAGGGATGAATCGGTGAGAGCAGAGTATGCACATTTTCTGAGACTTCAGTCCCAAGAAATCCATTCTACCTGCTCAGCAGCAGAGTAAACGAAGTGCCCAACAGCATAAGAGACATGCCCCACCTGGACCAGGGACTAAGAGGGCCACCATCCCAGAACCTCATCCCATTCCCATCTGGGCAACATCTGTCATCCTCAGACATAGTCTAGTCTGGATAACAGGGTCCTCGTCCTGGAGTCTAGCAAGGGCCCAGGAACGTGTGCCCGTTCCCACCACTATCATGAAGGAGTCACAAGTGTAAAAGCCATGTTTCTAATTATCCCCCAATGCAACAGCCACAGAACACAGATGGCCATGGCCTGCTAGAAGCCAGAGGGATAGATCCTGATGGCTCCCAGGGTGAAGTAGGAATGCAGAGCAACTGGAGTGTCCCCCAGTCTCAGGTCATAGGTTGGGCGTTAATAGTCACAGAGCAGGCTCCCTGAGGTGTCTTCTCCTCGGAAACAGGATGTAGCGTCAACAGCGGCTGGAGGCAAATGGTGGGAGTGGGGCTGGGCCGTGTCCACACGGCATCTGGAGAATGCTCTCTGAAGACCCCTGGGCCAGATTCTCCAGAACATCTTGATTCTGACTCTCCTTTCCGCCTGCCCCCACTTCTAGGTCCCAGAGTGGTCTAGACAAAGGGTAGGTTTCTGGCCTGTGATGGCAGGCAAGGGTAGGGGAAGACAACCTGGATGGGGCAAGGACCACCCTGGAAAAGTCTGTGGCCGTAGGTCCTCTACCACCTTCCAGCCCTTCACAAGAGGGCAGCTTGGGGCCATGGAGCCTGACCCACTAGCAGAAGCGAACCTGGGTCCAATCCTCTGCTCAGACCTTGGGACTTCCTGAGTTGGACTCCTTGGGCCGGCGGTGGGGGTGGGGGTGTGTGTGCTGCTGGCAGAAGGACACACATCAGCCTGCCCACAACCCCTACAGAAGAGCCTGGGCGGAGGGCTCCTCCATCCTGCCTACTTAGTCACCTGCTTCTGCTGAAAGCAGGGATCCCAGATCCTCCGCCCACCCCTCAGGGGGACAGGCGACGAGATGCCAAGACTCCTGGAACCCAGTGCTATGTGGGCCAACCAGTCTCTGCAGCCTGTACAAATGGGAGCATCTCCCCCTCCCAGGCAGCCTAAGGCCCAGGGTGGCGTGACAAAGAATGCAGGCCTGTGCCAGATGGGGCATGTGCCTGGCAGGCCTGCTGGGGCGGGACTGGAAGTGTGTGTGGGGGAAATCAAGAAATGAGACGCGAGCCGGAGGATCCTTCCCACATCCAGTGGACTGTGTAGATCTTCACTGTTGACAAACTAGCTGGTTTCACTCACACCTCAGCAACAAAAACCTGTATTTAAGGGGCCAATTCCAGGGATCCGGACTGGAGAGAGCAAAGGAGCGTGGCTAGAGGCCCCCCTGGGAGGTGGAGAATACCGCTGCCTCCTCAGGGGGCTGGGCTGGGCCCCCAGCACTCCTGGCAGTGGTAGGCAGAGCTGGCTGCCAGCTCCAGCCTCCGCCCTGGATTCACTCTATCCCGGCTCAGATCTGTGGTTGGGCTTCATCCAGGGGGCCCTCCGCCAAGAAGGAGCGAGGCTGGATCTGCAGGGGTAAAACAAGCAGTGAGCGGAAGGGGCGAGGGCAGGCTGCACTCCGTGCCTTCTGTCTCCCCCGTCCCCCAAAGGCTTCGGCTCCATGGTAGGGGTCGGCTCCTCGGCCCGTGACCTCAGGGAACCGGTGATGGGCTCAAGTCTTCTGGGCTACCCTTCCTCTTACCCACCAGCATCCATTACCTTGAAGGGTGTGCTTATCCCCACCACAGAATGTAGGTTGTTGCTATAGTAAAAAAGGAGAAACTGATCCTCAGTCTCACGGATGTCACTAATGTCGATGTACACCTGGAGGGAAGGACAGACGGAAGTGGATCAGCTCCATGGCCCCAGGCCCCATTCAGCTCTCAGAGACTAGGTATCCAGCTCTCTGTTCCTTCCAGAAGACAGGGGAGAGGTCAGACAAGCCCCCCTGCTGGAGATGTGGAATACCTATCTCAGGAAAGGGGGCAGGTACCTGGTTCAGCCCGTCGCTGAAGGAGACCTGGTTGTCCCTGACCCAGACATACGACACGTAGTCATTAATGTGGCGCAGCCCCACCTGTGGGAGGGGGGATCGGGCAGGTGGTCAGTGGTCTGGGAGGACACGGGACCCATGTCAAGTCCTACGGAGAGGATGGTCTCATTTCTAAGGCTGGCCATCATACCACCTGCCTCTTCCCCTTCACTGCTAGCCCCTCGATGGGCAAGGACCCTTGGGGTGGATGAGGGTAGCTCTGCAGTCTCTGTGCCCAACTCCCATGAGCACTCAGAATAGATAAACCGGTGGGGGGGGTGCGACTGATGGGCTCCCTGCCCGCCTGCCACGTCACCTTGTACAGGCCAATCCAGTCCCAGGGGCTGCTGAGGAAGTCTGCGGTCAGGGAGTAGCTGATCAGCATGTCGCTCTCCGTGGTGCACCGGCTCTCGGGCAGCAGGGTGATCAGTGGGGCAGATACCAATGGCTTCAGCTATACACAGGGGCGGGAAGGGGTTGAAGTCCCACAGCATCATTCCCTTCCCTGAGACGAATGTCCTTACTGTGCCCTTGCAACGGTCAGGGTCAGTGGGGAGGGATGGAGGGGCACCCACAGGTGAACCCTACTAGACTGCCTTTAGAGTAGCAGACCTTGGCTGGCCAGCTGGAAAGAAGGGCCAAAGGCTGATCGGGGATGGCTGGCCCTGCCAGGAGGACGAGACTGGGGGCCAGCTGGGTAACCAAGCAGAGAGCCAAGTGCTGAGCAACGTCGGGGTGGGGGAGATCAGGGGCGCCGCTGGCGGGTTGAAGAAACAAGCCAAGGAGTTGCTCGCAGGCCCTTCACGGTTCCTGACCCAAAGGCCCAAATCCAATTTGGGGGCCTCTGGTGAGAACAGCTATAGGCATGTGAAGGGACACTGTGGTATAAAGACAGACAAACAGTAAGAGGGCAGCCAGCAGCTCAAAGGAGGTGAACACTGCCTTGGTCATGAGATGGCAAGATACAAGGATGGAGGGGGCTCCCTTTGCAACCTGAGCCCGATAGGTGTAGGACAAATGAAAGCAAGTCCTACTTCACATGGTAGGTAATAAGCATAATGGAACTCAGGAGCCCCAGGGGACAGTACTAAGAGGAAATGGAAACCTACTGACAAAGGGTTTGAACACATTTTTGACAGACAGAGCCATCAACAGCTCCTAAGAAGGGCTGGGATACCTGACCCGGGAGGAAAGGCAATCATGTCCTCCCACAGGTCTCCCCTGGGGCATCTGCTGACATGAGAGCCCAGGGCGGGAGGGTCTGGGGATGTGGCCCAGCATGGCTGCTCCTCTGCCAAGTGCTGGGCAGCCCAGAAATTTACCTCCAAGTCAAAGGTGCTAGTGACAGGCTTATGGTCACTGACGCTGTACAGCATGTGGCTGACGTAGCTCCTCAGAAACAGGGTGAAGTGGGGGGCTGACAGCGTCGGGGTGTGGATGGCGGCCTGGGGCTGCCGCTTCAGCCTCCACAGGATGCGGTCGGTCCACGCGGGCTTGCGCTTTTTCTCACTGGGGGTGGGAGGAGAGGAAGAATGGGGAGAGAAGGGGTGGCAGGTGAGCAGGAAGGGACCCACGAGCTTGCTGGATGCCCTAACACCAGGGCCTGTCAGCAGTCACGAGATCACCCTGGGACAGAGCTGGAGACCAGCATGGCAGCAGGCAGGAGGGTGTCCAATGGAACCAAAAGTATGCTGGCCTTTGTCAGACTCAGCCAAGGACCCTCAGTAGACTAGAGGGTCACAATCAAATTGTGACTCAGAAACATCCCGTTTAAAGCCTTTCTTATTTCTTGAACAAAAGCAGCAGAACATCAAAGAAGCTGAGGTTTGGAATTTGGAGTGAGACAGACCTGAGCTGGAATTTGGCTTCCCCCATACTAAAGACCCGACCTTAGGGAAGGAAAGGGAAGCATTTAGGGAAGGCTCACTACATGCCGGCAACCAGAACTATTTATTTCACTCTTCACAAGTGGAGAAAATGAGTCTTGGAGGGGAAGTAACTTTCCCAAAGTCACACAGCCACTGAGTGGTAGAGCCAGGACTCAAGGCCAGGCAGCATGACCACAGAGCATGTGCCCTTAATCACCAGGCCAACCCCTCTTAGGCCTCAGCTTCCTCATCTGTAGAAAGGAGATAACGGTAGTTATGTCATATGGTTGCTGAGATGATTAAATGAGACGAAACACAAAAAATGTTGAGCACCATGCTTCGTACAACATAAACTCTCTACATATACTGGCTATCGTGATGCTTTGTTCTCAAGAGTCAAGACCTCCCACCTGTTCTTTACTCACCAGCTTCCCTGACGGGCATAAGAGAGACCATATAGCCTGGTCAGATGATTCGCTGTAAACCTTTAAGGAGTCTTCACTGCTTCCAGAATAAAGCTCAAGTCTCCAAATGTGGCTGTCAAGGTGCACAGGAGCCTGACACCCCTTGTGCTACCTTATCTCCCTCCTCTGCCCCAGACCCACCTCACCATGGTGAATCTCTCAAGCCTCTGGGCCTCTACCTTACAGCTTTTGCTATCTATAACTCCCTTTGTCACAGGGAGAGGCCCAGTTCCAGTGCTGTTTTTGTCATAAAGCCGTCACTGACCTCTCTGCTTCCAAAGCATTCTACATAAGTACATCTCCTATTACAGTATATTGTAGTTCACTGTTTCCCAGTCAGCCTATCAGTTAGCATGTGAGCTTGGAAGGTAAGGACGGACTCTTGGCGTCTCCTGTGTATCCTCAGCATTAGCACAGAGACTGCCATGCAGTAGGTACTCAAGAAGTGCTCGTGAAACCCAAAGAATTAAAAAAAAAAAAAAAAACCCAAGCTCATTCTCTTTCCTCAAAAATGCCCACCTAGGGACTTCCCTGGTGGCACAGTGGATAAGAATCCTCCTGCCAATGCAGGGGACACGGGTTCGATCCCTGGTCCACGAAGATCCCACATGCCGCGGAGCAGCTAAGCCCGTGTGCCACAACTACTGAGCCTGTGCTCTAGAGCCCGCGAGCCACAACTACTGAAGCCCGCATGCCTAGAGCCTGTGCTCCGCAACAAGAGAAGCCACCCCAATGAGAAGCCTGTGCACCGCAACGAAGAGTGGCCCCCACTCGCCGCAACCAGAGAAAGCCCGCACGCAGCAACAAAGACCCAATGCAGCCAAAAATAAATAAAATTAAATCTTAAAAAATAAATAAAATGGTTTAAAAAAGTGAAAAATATATTTAAAAAAATGCCCATTTATCCCAAAAAATGTCCACTTAATCATTTTTTAAAATAATTTATTTTATTTTTATTTATTTTTGGCTGCATTGGGTCTTCGTTGCTGCGCGCGGGCTTTCTCTAGTTGCGGCGAGCGGGGGCTACTCTCCGTTGCGGTGCGCGGGCTTCTCATTGCAGTGGCTTCTCTTGTTGCGGAGCACAGGCTCTAGGCGCGTGGGCTTCAGTAGTTGTGGCTCACGGGCTCTAGAGCACAGGCTCAGTAGTTGTGGCACACGGGCTTAGTTGCTCCACAGCATGTGGGATCTTCGTGGACCAGGGCTCGAACCCGTGTCCCCTGCACTGGCAGGCGGATTCTTAACCACTGCGCCACCAGGGAAGCCCTGCCCACCTAATCTTAACATATACAGTTTCATATGCTTATAATCAGTTTGAAATTCTATTTTTGTCTCCTGCTTTATTCACTTACTATTTTAAACAAACCTTTCTGGTATACGTCCATCACTTCAATAGCAATATGGTTTTCCAGCAATAGAGGCAGAATGGTGCCTCGGTGGCGAACTGACTCTAGTATCAGAGACCAGTTGGGGGAAGGTTTTGCCCCTGTTAATTAAGAGCTATGCGGTTCCAGGTTAGTGAATCTGGGGAGTGGTGCCCTTGGAGAGGGCACGGAAGCTCCTTCCCCTTCCCCATACCTTGTCCTACACATCTCTTCCATCTGCCTGCTTCTGAGTTATATCCTTTTACAACAAACCAGTAACTTAGTTTAAAAACAAGCTCTGCCCTTGGGCAAGTGGCTTCATCACCCCAAACCTCAGTTTCTTCCACTCTTAAGACCGGGTGATAACAGTGCTTACTTCAAAGAAACATTGTCGAGGGAGTGGTCAGGAAGTGGGAACTGGCCAGACCACCTCTGCTCGGCGCTCCTGGGTTGTTTGAATCCTTCACTCTTCTGAGAAGTGTTCAGGGGATAATCGGAATGTGGTATTCCCATCCCAGAGACAACAGACACTCAATCTCCAAACCAATCTTGGACATTCAGTGCCTAGCAATTCTTAAAACTTGGTAATGAACCACATGAATGTACCACTCTCCCTTTCAAAGCATCCTCCCCCCTTCCACTTCCCTATTATGGTCAAGAGCTCAAACTTGCCGTCCCGTCAGGATCCTCCCCAAGTCCTGACCACAGCCTGACTCTCCTTCCCCCTCAGTACCTCAGCTTGGCTCTGCTTCCTCCTTGGGACTTCAGCCTGTCTCCCTTTCCTCCTTTTCCGTGGACTGGTCCACATTCATAACTGGGCACCTGTATTGTTCATTCTTTCAGTGAGCTTTACTGAGCCCTTATTATACGCCAGGCAACTGGGGATCTGCTAAATGGGATTGTCAAAGTCGTTGACGAGCTCGTTTAACAAACAAAAGGAACAAATGAGCAAAATAAATACATACCAACTAAATATTATACATTTCCCCCAGTTCTCCATTCCTAATAATAACTAAACACGGGGTCCTTCTGTGCATCAGATTGTTCCAATCCTTCCAACACTGGAAGAATGCCACGGGTCACATTTTCCTTCTTCTCCAGGACACTGAAGTTGAGTGAGGTCACCCTATGCAGGTGGGAGCTGGGTGCCTGCCCACGTTGCTGACTAGAGAGTCAGTGCTCCTTCCACTGCACCCGTCTCCTCCAGCTTGCCAGTGGTGGCCGATTCCCACTGTGTGTCACCAGAGCCGGGTCTCACTAATGCTTTTTTTCTTTTTAAATAAATTTATTTACTTATTTATTTTATTTTTGGTCATGTTGGGCCTTCATTGCTGCGAGCAGGGGCTACTCTTCGTTGCGGAGCATGGGCTGTAGGCATAGGCGTGCGGGCTTCAGTAGTTGCGGCTCGCGGGCTCTAGGGCACAGGCTCAGTAGTTGTGGCGCACAGGTTTAGTCGCTCTGTGGCACGTGGCATCTTCCCGGACCAGGGCTTGAACCTGTGTCCCCTGCATTGGCAGGCGGATACTTAACCACTGCGCCACCAGGGAAGTCCCATCACTAATGCTTTTTTTGGCTGAATGGTCGTGACTGAGTACAAGAATTATATCTGGAGATTACAGGCACACCTCGTTTCCTTGTGCTTCGCTTTTCCTGTACTGCGCCGATATTGTGATTTTTACAAATTGAACGTTTGTGGCAACACCGCGTCGAGCAAGACCATTAGCACAATTTTTCAAACGGCGTTTGCTCCCTCCATGTCTCTGAGTCACGTTTCGGTAGTTCTTATAACATTGCAAGCTTTTTTGCTGTTGTTGCAATTGTTACAGTGATCTGTGACCCTTGATGTTACTATTGCAAAAAGATTATGACTTGCTGAAGGCTAAGATGACGGCTAGCATTTTTTTACCAATAAAGCATTTTTAAATTAAGGTATGTACATTTTTTTTTAGACATAATGCTATTGCACACTCAACAGACTACAGTATAGTGTAAACATAACTTTTTTATGTATCAGGAAACCAAAACATTTGTGTGACTCTCTTTATTGTGATATTCGCCTTACTGCGGTGGTCTGGAACCAAACCCGCAATATCTCTCAGGTATGCCTGTAGTATGTCTTTACTTTCTAAAAATTAAAACCAAGTAGCTCTGCAGGATTCTCCTGGCTTAAGAGCCTAGAAAACTTGAGCTAGTGTACTGACCCAAAAGTAGTGATGTGTTCCATTTTTGGGTCTGAGAGCACTTTTCCTTTCGGCTCCCTATAGATGGCTTCTAAGTGTCTCGCTGAACTCTGGACTCGAGTCTTGAATAGATTGATCATAACATTCTCTGCTCACTGCCTAGCAGAGAGGTGGACTGGGTTCCTGTTGACTGCAACAAAACCATTGCAATCCCTGACTTTAATAGGATTTCCTGCCCTCAGCCCTTTCACCCTCCCGTGTAATGGAGCTGACCTCGTTTCTCATTACATCTTGGCTCCGGGACGCTGCCGAGGCTGGGCAAAGCTCCGTACCATGCCCTGCATGCAGCTCAGTCCCTCTGTACAGCGGGTCAACTCCACTCAAGATGCCTCTCAGCAGCGCTGCTGACTGATCAGAATGCCTGCGCTCCTTTCTGCCTCCCTGATAATAACTCTCATTGACTCCTCCTGGCTTCAGCTGCCCGCCTCCTTACCATTTGCTTTACCCTCCTTCGGCACTTCCACACAGAGTTCTGGAACCTTCTATGGGCCAACTCCTGGACTTGAGAGTGTTTATTTGGCTCTCTCACTCTGGGTGGGTCCCTCTGCTCCTTAAATACCTTATCTTTTCCTTTTGTCCTCTCAGGCTCCCAGTTTAAACATATGCCAGGCACTACGCTACACCCCAGGGACGGTCATAAATCAGATCCAGTCTCTGTGCACTGGGCATTCATAGCACAGCAAGAAAGGCACACTGTGTCTTAAAAGCAACACTGAAAGCATGGTGTGTGCAAGGCTTGCAGGCAGCATAAGGGAAGGAGAGAACTCTCAGTGAAATGGGCAAGGGTCAGGAAAGGCTTTTCAGATGGTTCAGATGATGTCTCAGCTGGGCTTTCAGGATGAATAACAGACTGATCAGACAGGAATGCTTCTGTTCACTATGTGGGGCTCAGGCCCTGCCCACCGCAGGAGCTCCCAGCTGGGAATATTTCAGTTACGATGTCCCCCCATAAGGCCCCTGTTCCTGTCCAGACATTCCTTCATTTCCTGGGCTCCAGGCAAGGGGAACTGGATTCACACAGACTCCAGTTCAAATTCCTGCTCCGTCACTTACTCTGTTACTACCTTACTTAGATCTTCTGAGACACAGTTTCCTTATATGTAAAAAGTCAGTATCAATGGCGCCTACCTAATGAAGATACAGTATGAATGAAGCGAAGTGATGCGGGCCAAGCACTCTGCACAATGCCTGGCCCATGGTCAGCACTCAATAATGTCAGTCACAATGTGGATTATACCTATTATGTGGAAACAGTATCTGCCTTCTCCTTAGCAAGGCTTTGCTATCCCAATCCTGCCCTCCTTTCTGCTGCTGCTGGCAAGACTGGCTGTGAACCCAGAGGCACTGTGGGCTAGAGGAAGGCATCGTGGGCAACACAGTCCAGAAAATTGGGTCTGAGCCCCAGCTCCGCCATCGCTAGCTGAGCCACCTGGGTAAGACCTTGAACATCTCTGAGCCTCTCTAGGCCATCTCAGTAACTTCCAGTCTCCTGCTGGTTTCCCTCCCATAACCAGGGGTGTGGGCACAGGGACACCTGGCCATACGGTCTGTCAGCAGCTCTCTTCCTGCTGGCAAGTGAGGTTTTGAAGTCAACTGGTAGAGGGTCCCAGCCCCCAAGGCCCCAGCCTGTCCCACTGAGGCCTGACAATTTCCACAGTGAGTCCATTGGAACTTCATTTCCAATGGATGGCTGGGGAGACTGTCAGCGGTGGACCCGGCCAGCAGGCCAGCTGGAGCCTGACCTCCTCCCTTCTTTCTGGCTTATACTGTAGCTCAGGCTGGACCCTGTTTCCAGTGTTCGTGGCCCCTTCTTGTGTGCACTGCCCTGGCTGTGACCCCACTCTGTCTTGCTCCACACACCTGAAATGGCTCATGCTCTCCCCCTTGCTTGGTGGGGACATTGTGGCTCTGCCACACGGCTTCCAGCACTGGGCCAGCAGCTCTTCCTCTCACCCCAGGCTGGCTGTGGACATACCTACTCACCTGCTAAATCCCAGAGGCCTGGGCCGCCCTGGAAGCGCCTCCTACCTCCCTCATAAGACAGTCTTGCTAGGGGAATACGTGAAGGAGCTGCTCCAGCTGAAACAAAGAGCCTCATAACATGTAGGGGGTTCTTTTTCTTCAAAGAGATGAGGATCCTTGCCCTACATTGGGCCAGGGACCTCTTGCCAGAGCTACTTTTGCCCCTCTGCCTAAGCCTAAGGTTTTGGTGGTCACTTAGTCCTTTCTCAGCTTCTGAGAAAAGTTTTCAGTAAAACTGCCACCTGAAGACATGAATCTAAAAACAACAACAGGGACTTCCCTGGTGGCGCAGTGGTTAAGAATACGCCTGCCAATGCAGGGCACACGGGTTCGAGCCCTGGTCCGGGAAGATCCCACATACCGCGGAGCAACTAAGCCCGTGCGCCACAACTATTGAGCCTGTGCTCTAGAGCCCACGAGCCACAGCTACTGAGCCCATGTGCCACAACTACTGAGCCCGAGCGCCTAGAGCCCATGCTCCGCAACAAGAGATGCCACCACAGTGAGAAGCCCACGCACCGCAACGAAGAGTAGCCCCCTGCTCGCCGCAACTAGAGAAAGCCCGCTTGCGGCAACGAAGACCCAACACAGCCAAAAATAAATAATAAATAAATTTATAAAAAAATAAATAATAAAATAAAATAAAAATAACAACAGCAGTTATCACAGTGCTTACCGGGTGCCAGGCACTGGTCTGGGCACATGCAAGGTCTCATTTAATCTTCAGCCCCGTGAAATAGGTATTGTTATCATCCCCGTTTTATAGATGACAAAATTGAGACTTAAATACCGTGTCCAAGGTCATACAGTTGATGAAGGGCAGAGCTGTGCTTCTAACTACCAGATGCACTATCTCTACATTATTCCCCATTAACTGCCCCCGACAACTACTACTTCACCTTCCTAAACAGTACCCGACCCACTCACAGCTGGGGCAGGGCTATGTAATACCAGTAATTGGCTGAGCCAAGCTTTCTGCCCCCCTGTCTGGGTAGGATCAGAAAGTCCTGGGGAGCGGGGACAACAGGGACAACATTCTGGGGCAGGGGTCCCCAGAATGCTGAAGTACAGTCCCCTCAAGTCAGCAATCAACTGTCTTCCCTCCCCTTTGGCTCTACCTGCCCTGCCCCCAACCCCTATTCCTGCCAGCAGTGTGTCTCCCCTTCCTGCTCTCTCTGCGGACAATCTGGGTCAGCTCCTACGGTCAGCATCTCACGAGGGGGGCGGGTGGTGCCACTCCTGAGAGGTGATGGCTGGATCTATTCCTGCTTCCCCGACACTTCTATTCGGAGGCAGCTCCCACTGCCACTAGGGCCAGCACGATCTGACTTCCCAGGCCCAGATCTGCGACAGGCTGATCCTCTCCTGGTGGAGCCCCCTCACCTGGTGTCATAGTTGTTGGAGTTCTTATCAAACTTGTAGGTGGGCGGGAAGAGCAGGGGGCCCTCCTGGAACTCCCGGAGCAGCGGGTCGTGTCTCTTGGCAATGCTGAGCTGGAGGGAAAGGCACAGTCCCATCTCCCAGCAGTCCTGCCCCAACGGCCTGGCACCACGCTCCAGTCAAGGGCTGGCACAAGCCATCGCAGTGGGGCAAGAGTCAAACCCGGCCACTCCACCTCCTCACTGCCCCAGCGGCAGCCTCGGCACCCCAGCTCCCGGCGCCCTCACCCCCGGGAGATCAGCTGGATCCTTTTGCAGACATTACCCCACGGTCCCAGGGGAGGCAGCTGCCTGCCCTTTCCCAGTTCTTGGACTACAGGGACCAGGCTCTGAATTCCATCTCCCTGGCAGCCACCAGCAGACGTGTGTCAGAGGGGAGGCTGGGGTAGCCAGGGTACCCCAAAGGGGTGGTATCTCATCCTCTAGGAGGCAAGCCAGGCTGGGGGTGGGAAAGACAACAGGGACACAAGAGGGCTGGCAATGGTGCAGGGCCACAGCAGGCCGAAGCCCTTCTCACTCCCTAATCTCATGCACACCCAGTGGCTGCGTCCTCGCTCCTCCAGCTGGAGACCGGGGCGGCCGGACAGGACTGGCTGCCCTACCCGCAGAGGTGAAGCCCTATTAGACCCCACCCTACCTGGGAACAGGGACTCGGGCGGCCTGGGAAAGGAGAACAGGCACTAGAGAACCTCCCCACATCTCATGTTGACCTCCACCCACCACGGGCTCAGACCACCCTTCGCGGCCCTCCCCTCATCAGATACCTGATCCTTCTCCCACAGGTCACTGTAGCACTGATTTTTTATGGATTCCCGAACAAAGTGCAACCCAAAGTCCTCAATCCGAAAGTTCATGTCTCCAAACCAGAGAATGAGGCTTCAGAAAGAAAGGAAAGCAGGTGGCCTGAAGGTTTGTGATGAGGTCAGAAAAGGCAGGACCACAGGGGTTCTGGCCACTCACTGCGGGAGAGCAGAAAGCTCGAGGGGTGGGTGAGAAGGTCAGGTGAAGACAAGAGCAGGGCCCAACGGGACTGTTCTCACGGCCCCTACCCCGCCACCATTTAAGCCGAAGAGATGAGCCCCAAGGGGCACGCGGCAAATATGGAGCAGGCTCTAGCCCTCCCTCCTCAACTGGGCACCAGGCAAGGCTGAGAACCAGCCCTTCCGGGGACCTCAGGAACCACGAGGTTCTTGACCTGGGATGTTCGGAAGTGCCCAGAGTTTCCAGGCAGGGCAGAGGGGCCAGGGAAAGGGAAGGTGTTCCAGACCTCAGGGAGGCAAAGCTGCATAGGAGAGCAGATGGGGTGTCAGGAAAGAGGCTGGGAGAGGGTGGGAGATGGGGCGGACTGCCTCTGGCTGGGGAGCAGTGACCGGGCAGAGCATGCTTGCCTGGGCTGGCCTGGGGGAGAGGGCAGGGGCTGCAGTTCACAACGGCATGCTCACTCGTGGTCCAGGATGTTGGGGATATCCTGTGCCTCAAAATTCTGCATCTCCAGGATCCGGTCAAAGTGCTCCAGCCGCTGGTCATTGTTGGCCACGTGCGGGGGCAGATGGCAGTTGACGATGCTGACATAGTAGCCGTAAAACTTCAGGAAGATGTTGACACCCCCTTTGTTCCCCTGGTAGGTGGGCAGAAGGGTGGGAAGCCATTCTAGGGGGGACACACCTCTCTTTCCCCATCCTAGACCTGAGGGCAGATGGTCTCACCTCCTGTAGGATCTCCCAGAGTCAGACACTCAGCTCCCAGAGTGGCCTCTCCATCCACAGAGCCCAGCTCATCCACCTGCCATCCTAGGGATGCTAAGCCCCCCTGAGGCAGGAAGGTGGCTATGCAGGGCACTGGCCTGGACGGAGTGCCAAGATTCATTTCACCCCCTTTTTCATTTGCCCAGCTCTAAAGCCCCCAGCCCTGCCCATCCCAGTGAGACGGCCCCCCAGCTCTTGACTCAGACAACAGCTCAGTCCTTACCCAGTACCCAAAGAGGCCAGTGGGGGTGGATTTAGTAGAGAGGATCTGGATAAAGGGCAAATGCTGATACTTGGCAAAGATCAGTAAGAGAAGCCCCTGCATGCGGACACTGGAGACCTGCAGGACAGAGGGGCAATGGTCATTTGTGTCCCTCCAGGCCCTGTGCTGGGTGCTCTAGAGAGCCCTGATCCACATGGATGTCCTGCCCCAGGGGTCTATGGCATCTCTGCAGATGGAGTCTCAGCTGCCAAATGATGCAGGAGCAGAAACTGGAAGCTAAGCAAGTTCCAGTTTCTGCTCCTGGGCTTGGGGGTGGAGGGCAGAGAAGACAAGGCTGCCAGGGACCCACTGCCATCAGGAAGTCACCGACTCCTCGGCCCTGGCCCAGGCACGGTCAGGTGCTCTTCTCCTCAGTGTCCTCCTGAGTTTCCATGGGTACAGTGCGCCGGGGCTCAAAGAACGTCAAAGATACTCTACGGGACAGTGGCTAAGGGCCAGATCTGGGTTCAAATCCCAGCTCGGGCTCTTAGTATTTGATATTGGGCAAGTCTCAGCCTGTCTTCTCACTAATAAAGCAGGAATCTATCTCAAAGACGCTGGATTAACTGGCAGCTGTTATTTTTTTGGTTTAGGGATTCTTGAAAGTAAATGCAGGGAAGAAGCATGAGAGAGCCTTCTAGGGTGCTGAAAATGTTCTGTATCTTGATTTGACCAGTGGTAACATGTTCTGCATATACATATAAAAATCCACCTGGGGACTTCCCTGGTGGTCCAGTGGTTAAGACTCTGAGCTTCCACTGCAGGGGGCACGGGTTCCAACCCTGGTCAAGGAACTAAGATTCCACATGCTGCGTGGTGTGGCCAAAAAAAAAAAAAAGAAAATCCATCAAACTGGAGACTTAATTTCTGTATACATTATAGCTCAGTGGAAAATAATTAAGAAAATGCTACTGAAAAATAATATAGACTGTGGGCAGTTGGTGTGTACGAAGGCCACGCAGAGGGGATGAGAGCGAGCACAGAGGACGTGTGTTCACAGATTGGGGAGAGTAGCTACCGTCCACTGACACACTGCCTTGCGCATTTAGTCTTCTAGCCAACCCTTCAAGGCAGCACCGAAGGACCGAGGCTCAAGGAGACGAAGGAACCAGTAGGACTACCTGGATATTCAAAGGACCAGGACTGCCAAAATCCCTGCTCTCTGTGGCCGTGGAGGTGGGGTGGGAATGGGCCAGTGACCCTCTCTCTCAGCTGCAGGCTGTCTACACCCACCACCCGAGTAGCTATTTCCGGAGCATGAGGTGCAGAGGCCAAGGAGGAAATCCCCGGGTGGGGAGTGTGTACTGGGGCCTTCCAGGAATTATGAAACTTGATCCCACAGGCCAGGAGCTCTGGGACAGTGGAGAAGTCAAAGCAGGGGGAACCCCAAATCCAAGGCCGAGGGAGGGAGGTGTGAGAAACTAGGGTTCGGCAGAGGTTGCTACAGATGTGTCCCCTGCCTCACTCTCCACCCCCGGTCTCGGTCTCTCCCCTTCCCATGCAAATATGACAATGGAAGTGGGCGAAGGGCTGGACTAAGAGGGACTGACTCCCAGGGAGCTGATAAAGATTCAGGAAGAGTTTCAAGCTGAATCTGAACCCATAGAGTGGGTTGGGGCGATGGGCTCTACCACAAAGGCACCAGCTCGCTTTGAGAAGCCGCAGGGAAGGGGGCGTGGCGCAGGGAGGATGGAGGTGGGGGTGGGGCTGTGGGGAAAGGCAGGAGGCTCGAGGGGAAGTTCCAGTTGAGGAAATGAAGTAGGAGGAGCTAAGGAAGGGACTAGAGGGAGGTGGCTGGGAGCCTAGGAGCCGGCCAAGGGGGTTAGCCCCAGGCTTCTCAACCCATGGCTGGCAACTTCTGGCTAAGGAATAGGCTGCAGGCAGGGCTCGCCCTTCACCTCCACTCTCGGCCTGGGGAAGAAAGGTCATTTGCTTTGGGTGCCAGGCCCTCAGGCTGCTCTCCCAACCTCGGGAGGCCGCATGGATAGAATGAGCTGTGTCCATGCCGCAAGATGAGCTCACTTCCTTGGCTCAATTCCATCCTGCCAATCCCTTGCCAGTTAGCCAAGGTACAAGGAGGCCTCCAGTCTTGGAAAGGGAGTGGGTGGTGAGAGAGAAGCGGTTCTGCCCTCCGAGAAGGTCCAGCTCCAAGTCTGCAGCAAGAGGCCCGAGTGTGATGTGGAGGGAGCCAAGGGCTTGGGGGCTGGCATTTTTTAGCCTCAGCAGCAGGACCAAACCTTGTCTGCCGTCCTCCTGGCTCTGCCCTCCTCGGGAGGACTCACAGCTCTTGCTTCAGCACCCTTAGGCAAACTAGGGTAACAGAATTAATTCTGAAGAAATCCAGTCACCCAGGGAAGGGAAGAAAGGAATTCTGGTATTTCCAGGAAGCATTGCTTCTTGGAGGTATTTTGAGTGGGAGTGTGTTTCATCCCTTGGCTGTGCAGGGCAGAAGGGTGAGATCCAGCAATCTAGAGCCTTCCTGTAGATGCTCCTATGGTCTAAACATTCCCCAAAGAATACTGGCCCTACAGACTGAGAACCTTTTTCCTCCACACCTGTGTCCCCTCTCCTAACCTCTTCGCCCCTGAGAATTTGAGGTGCATATCCCTTATGATCAGAGGATACCCTCTGATACCAGCAGGCGAGTCGTGGGATACCTGTCAGCCTTAGAGATCATCAGTACAGCAATAAAGTACAGAAGCCAAGAACATGGGTTATTAAGTTTGAAAGATCTGGATCTGAACCCCAGATATCCTGTGAAACCTCTGAGTCTTGGTTTTACCTGTATAATACCTGTATTTCAAAAGAGTTAAGATTTTTAAATAACGTATATAAAGAGTTTGCTTATAATGCTTAACACCAAGTAAGCACTCGATAGATGGTGGCAGTTATTATGCTCTGAGATTTCAGGCTGGGCCTGAGAGTAGAGATTGGAGGCAGGGGGTGGGGTAGGCACTGAGGTGTTACTAAGCCCTGATGCACCTCCCCAAGGAATTCTCCTAACCTGAAAAATATCAAGGTCTTAAACTAGCCCCTGGGGTTCCAGCTCAGCTCCAGCTACCTCTGAACACACAAGGCAGGCAGGAGCCCCAGGGAGCCACGTGCAACTGAGGTTTGGGCCTTTAAATAAAAGGGAAAGAGCATGAAAGCTGGAGTGGGAGACCAAAGGACTAGGGATTAGTGATAAGAGGTGAGACACATTTCCCAACTGCCCATGAACTTATAAGTTACCTTGACGAAGCTCAGAGGGGAAAGCACATCCATGAAGAAACTGCTCCATGGGTCTTCAAAGGCAGTGTCAGAAAGGAGGCTCATGATCCCACAGTTCATTTCCTGCAAACTGCCCATCCCAGGTCAGAGGCTTCCCCCTGGCCTGGAGGGCGCTGCCTCTGCCGCAGACATTTAGCACTGCCCTCAGCCGACTTTCCAGCCTTGGGCTCTCATGACCATGGTCTCTCCCTCCCCTGGCTGTTGACTGCCAACCCCTTGCCATTGCTGATCCAGGACAACAGACACTGCCTGGCTCTGATGCAGGCTGAAAGCTCCTGGCCTTCAGACTCCAGAGTGAGGGCGTACAGGTTACAGCGGTTCCCCACAGGGACAACTTGGGACTGGTCAGGCTTACCTGATCTCAGATATAGGGATGCGTGACGGGCCCTGCAGACACCTACCCAATGACATACACGTCCAGATTCAGGTTCAGGTTGTTCAGCTGAAGCAGATCACTGAGGTCTGGAGGGGGTGCTGCAGAGGCCACGTTCCATGTCACGACATGTATGCTGAGAAGGGAAGCCATGGAGGAAGGAGGATGAGCCCTCATCCAGGTAACAGACAGGGGGCTGCGCCTGCTAACGGCTGCACCACAACCCGCTGTAGTCTGAATGGGAAACGTGTGTTTCTGCATCTGGTGGAGGGAATAGGGCCACTGAACTACAAGCTCTTCATCTTCACCTCTGTCCCCGAAGCAGGAAGTTCCCACCCTGGATTGGCTCCTCCGTGCAGGCGTACAGCTCCCTACACCTGGCAGCACTGGTGCTGCTGACACTAGGAGAGCTGCCAAAGTGGGGCTGAAGGTTTTGGAGTCAGGCAAGGGAAGGGGTGTGGATGGGGTGGACCGTCAGGAATTTATTAATTCCACCAGCCCTTCATCTATGGCTCAGTAAGCAACTTTCCGCCCCCACTCTTCAATCCACGGGATCCTACAACCACCAGAAAGATTCTGGAGGTTCAGTTTTCACTTGTGAGAGGCCTTAGTACTGCAAGACGGGAATTTCAAAAATAACAGAGATAACAGCACCACATTTCCTTCCTCACTCATCTCTGGAGCACAACCAATTCTGCCAAGCATTTCAGAAGAGCCTAAGAAGATTCTAAATAACAGGTTTCTCAACATCTCTCTCAAGACTCTACCCTCTTTTGGGAAAAGTCATCAATTGGATAACATCCACCTCAGCTTCACATAAACCCTAGGGAAACAACAGATCTAATCAGCAGCTCAGGGGATGGACAGACTTGCAAATCTCTTCATTTGAATAGTTACAGTAATGCTCCCAGGAAGCCCCCAGATTGTGCTGAGTACAGAACAGGCAGGGGCTACAAACCCTGCAGAGACCAAGAAGAACCACCAAGCCTCAGGTGAGTCCTAGGCACACCGTAAGGAGGAGGACCTGTAACAGTGTAAGATGCAGAATGGGGGCAGAGGGGGGAAGGAAAGGGCAGGATGTCCTTAAACATCTTTTCTCCACCAGACCCTGTGCTTAGAGGTCCATGTTCTAAAGAGCACAAATTGAAGAAATTCTTGGCCAGCTTAAAGCAACTTCCTGCCCCTCCATGTGAACATCAACAAAACAATACAATAACCACCTTCCCAGGCACTCAGCCAGAGGTTCCGTGCTTCGTTTGTTTACGGTCTCCCCCTGCTGTCCAACGGAGGATTAAGAGGCAGCTCTTTTACTCTAAGGCTCCTTGTTTTCCCAGGGACCTGCTCTAAGTGGATGGAGAGCCAAAGCCGGGATTTCTTGTACCCACTTTTAGGTCCCACGATTAGCAGCAAATCCTTGCATCGTGACCGGCACTAAGTTGGTGATTAGCGTTGTTCCTCGTTAAAGAACAAGCATGAGACCAGGCTATTATCACTTCACTAAAGGATCTTATCTAAATCTGATTTTGGGTTTCAGGAGGTCACAACAGGGTCAGGCAGACCCCATGATGTATGTGCTGATCCAAAGCAAGAACAAGGTTTCTACTCTAGAGCTAAAGGGAGAGTGCTTCGTTATGTTTTTAACTTCTAACAGCCCAACACTGCTGCCTCCTCCAGAACCCAACTGGGACACCTGCTTGGGGCGTCCAAGTGGGCAAGAACTTGGTGGCCTGAGTTTGGAGGGGGCGCGGGGTTCGACCCAACACAGCCCTCTCGATACTGGCCTGGGAGAATGTGGGAGGCCTCTGAACCAGAAGCAGCCCTGTAGGTCTGGCCCTTCTCTCTCAGTCTGGTTCTGCCCCAGACCCGCAGCCCCGATTGGGTCGGAGGCAGTGATCCCACCCCGAGCAGGCCGGCCTGCCCGCAGTCGCCTTCCTCACCTGAGCGTCCTGACTCTCAGCTCGGTCTGTGGGTTCATGGCCGCCATCGTCCCCACGCGGTGGCCCGGCCGGCTCGCTCTCCCCGCCGCAGCCTATCCTGGCCCAATCTGCCCCGCCTCTGGCAGCAGGTGCCGCCGGCCAGCTCCCTCTCCCGATTGTTTTTCTTCCGGATTTAGACCCTACGCTTCGGCTTCCGTAAGAGGCGGGGTCTGAGCGCACGGAGGGCTCTGGGTGGCGAGCTCGGGGGGAAGAGGCGGAACTCTTCAAGGAGCGCGAAACGGTGAAAGGCTAAGGGGAAAGGGGCCTAGGGGACGGGGACGTAAGAGAGGCGTGTCCTCGTGTCACCAGACCCCGATACAACACTGCCCCGCCCAGCGGCCGGGGCGCGCCGTGGCCCAGACACCGCCCAGGCGGCTCCCAGCGTGCCTCGCGCGAGGTCGGCCTGGAGGGGCCGTCTTCCGGCGGAAGCCGCCGCCTCGCCCCGCCCCGGCGCGTCGCATTTCACTAGCACAGAACGTGAGGTCTCGGCCTTCGGCGTTGTCTCCCTCCAGGTTCCCAACGTCCCGAGGGGCAGAAGGCGAGGGGAGGCGGCGCAGCCACCCACTGTCCGGCCTGTAATCCAGTCTCTTTCCCAACTACAGGTAATCTCTCTCCTCTTGGTCAGTGAGCGCCTCCATTCTCCACTCTCACGTTCAAGTGTTTTCCGCTCTTCAAACTCATGCAAGCTATTACACATTGGACGTTTGGGGGCTCCTGGACTCAGAAGGCTATATACATCAGTGAACGAAAAATAAGTCACTGCCTCTGTTTACGACCAAACATGAAATGAAGATTATTTATTGTGCCAAAGACTAACTATGATTTCCTTCAATCACTTGTTTTTTATTTTTTGGGGGGGGGGCGGGGGCAGGACAGTGCATGGGATTCCTTTGAAGAACTGATGAGAGCCATGACTCTCCCCAGAAAAATGCACCACAACTTTACAAACAAGCTTCATGAGGTTTACAGACTCGGAAGCCAGGGTTAAGAACAACCTTAAATAAATGTTTTCCTTGGTAGGATGGGTAAAAGAGGGGGATGTGGAGAGGAGGGAAGACAAAAACAAAAGGGAAATACTGCCAGTAGAAAATGGCCAAATTACTTTCAGAAATGTGATATTTGCATAAGTAAAATGATAAGGGGATTGTTTTAGTTTACACAAATCAACATGCAACAATTTTCTTTCTAATCCTTCCCTAGTAAAACTGGGGAGATCAGCAAGAGTTTGAGGATACCTAAGTTGTAAAATGGACATAAGGACATCACCAATAAGCTGGACTCCAGAAAGCTCTGTCTAGGATTTTATTAGACTGCTTTTTCCCCCAATATAACCCATATTGGAAGATTGAGACAAAAAGGCACAAACTCACATTAAATAAACAAGGTAATCTAATCAGTTCTACAAAGTGTATTTTGTAAAAGAAGTAGCACTAGGAACCAACCAAAATACGTCAGGGAGTCCCAGCAGGGACTGTAAGAGAATTTGGGAAGATATACACATGTCCACAATACTGACCCTGTCCCCAACCTCTCTCCATAAGAAGGCCAGAGCCCAGCACCCCTCCTACAGAGGCACTGCTGCTTCCAACTGGGACAGCGGCCCTGAAAGCAGCTGGTCTGAAGGGGCGTGGCACATCCTCAGGTACTACCCCAGGAGCTGAGCCTTGCATCATAAGCCCCTCTGAGTGCTAGTCAGTTTGGGGGGTGGGTAAGGAGGGAAGGGGGATACTTAAAAGAAGCCAACACTGCTGCCCAGCAGCGACACTATCCATGGGGACGGAACAGACCAGGTACGTCCCTTCTTATGTTGATGTGGGCTGGAGCCCCAAATCCAGCTGACCTCAGGAAACACCAGTTCAGCTCTTGTGGATGCTGGACTGGGGCAACAGGTGGAGGTGGGAGGAGCCAGAGAAAAGGCCGACAAGGAGCGAGCCCCGCCCCTAGAATTGGAGTGATATGTGTGGATCTCAGAGAAGAGCTGAAGGGAGGAGACTGACAACTGCTGACCCTCAAACCACATAAACAATAGTCTGCCTAGAATATCACCGTTTGTTTCTCCCAGGCTAACCCACATCTGGACTTAACTTAGTTGATGAATGTTAAGAAGGGAAAAAGCTTTAAGCACAAATATAATTATAGCTAATACAGAGCTTGTAGGAAAACATTTATATTTTTCTCCAGTAGGAATGTCTATTCAACTTTCCCAGTCAAATAAATGCTACCAGCAGTTGGGATGCTAATAACCAACTGAATTGCCCCAGATCCACTACTATAGACCCCACAAGGTGAGGAGACTGTGACAGGATATCTCCTGGCCCCAGAGGGGGCCTCAGTGAAGGTGGGAGCTAACCACGCTGAGTCTGTCCACCCTTACCCCAGGAGGGCCACAGGGAAGCAGCCATCAGGAAGTCACAGGTTTCATCCTGTGTGACACTCCCTTATTGCACTTAGAAATGAGTAAGGCAAAACAAACTGACAAAAACCTAAGGACAGATCATCCCATCCTACTTCTCACTCCCCGAACAGAGATTTGGTCTCGCATTAGCAGTTGCACCCAGGCTAGCATGGGCTTGAGTCACTGCACACTCGGCCAACAAACTTCACAAGGTTTGGGAAATGTCAGGTGACACCACAGCTATCTCAGATTCTCCCACTGGGAAGGCATACTCGGGCTCTGCCAAGTCACAGGGAACCGTGAAGCACTCGGCAGCTTCTGTTCCCCGGAGCCTGGACTTTCTCACCAGCCAGCTTTGGGAGAGCTCCGTACTACGATCGCTACTTGCTTTTGATTGTCCAGGGCAGAACTCAGCATGGGGGCAGGACGAGCTGAGTTCTTGATCCCCAAATTCCTTTCCAGCAACTGGAGACGTGGGGGAACGTGTTCTGGGAAGAAGCTTTTTGCATGCTTGTTTTGTGCAGCATGAAAAGATCAAGACCCATTGCGTCCTGACCAGCCTCAGACAGAGGACAGGAATCTAAGAAAGCACAGAGAAAAGGGGATTATTGCTGAGTGGCAGCACCAGCCCAAAAGGGAAGAGGAGCGTGGACGTACAGAGCTCCTCGGGGGGCAGACTAGTAGGTAGGTATGGGGCAGACTCAATTCTAAGGGCCACACGGGACAGTTCCCTCCAGGTAGAGTTGACCCGGGCACATTACGGGCTCTGCGGAGATACACAGTGGGCAACAGGAGGGCCAAGAAACCATAGGTATTTCTAAGACTAGTGACCAGAGATGCAATGCCTGGGGCAGGGGTTATTTGTATTTGTTTAATTTTCAAAACAGGCTGGCTGGGCCTTGGGTACTTCCATGGTGCCCAGAGCACTCTAACAGTGGGTTACTGGGAGCAGAGGTCAGAGTTATGAAGCCACATTGCTGTTCTGTGGAACTGGAAGGGAAAAAAATATGTATTTCTAACTCATCCCTTCTCCCCAGGTGAGCACTCAAAATTGCAAAGATCTGCCCAGGAAGCAAAATACCTCAAGTTTATCCCAAGGTTGAAAACTAACAAAGTAAATCATTTAAAATCACCACATCACAAAAGGCAGCTATTTTGAAAGACTAAAAATGTCACTTGGAAATAAAGGGGGCGGGGGCACACAGAAATGGGTCAAGAACACAATGGTTGGAGAGGGAGGAGCTGTAAATACAGCCACCTACACGCCACATATCTCAGAGGGGCAGGCTCCCGCACACACGGGCTTCGTAATACCAGACAGTCTATTTGTTCACAATGTTAAAGGGCATCTAGAATTAACTACAGTAAGGGATCAAAGTTGCCTGAAGAATGGGCACAGAAAGGCTGCGTCCGAAGATGGCCTGTCACTCAGGAGGGTGGAGCTGCTGGGCCTTCCTGTTGACCACTGTCTTGCAAAACTAGAAGAGAAATACAATTATTAAGGAAGCAACAAAGGAAAACAGAAACGCACTGTAAATCATTCATGGGGGAATTGCAAAAGGAGGAAGGATGCCAGGCAGTGTAGTGGGGGGCTGTGGGGGGGGAGAGGAAACTAAGGTCCAAGCAGTGATGAGAAGCTGGCATCTCCTCAATCCACTTCATCCTACCGTTTTATCTCCCAGAAGTTCTACTCAAGCACACAGGGCAGGGAGAGCAAGCAGTGGTTTGCTTCACTGCTGGTGAAAGCCCAGGCCTCCTTAGCACCGTAGTGCTCGAGGACAACCAGGCTTTATTTGATAACATAATTTTCCCTCAGAGCCTGATGGGAGCAAGACCAGGCTTCTCATTCCATGCCTAATCCCCTCTGAGCTGCTGGAATAACAGCAAGTGTGGAGGTGTGCAGGACACTGGGTGCTAATACAATGTAGGGTCTTGGGAAGGAGTGACCACATGAAACAAGAGACATCCCATCCTGGTCCTATGACCTGGGCAGAAACACTCTCCAAGTATCTGAAAGATGCTGCCTCTGAACTACTTTGTCTGGGATCAGAGGGTATAGAGAGAAAGGAAATGAAGCACCAGACCCAACAAGGACCACTAGGAAAAGCTGTCTGGACGGCAAATTTTCCAAGGGAGAGGTAGGGAACAGCTCTGGCACAGGGGGGTACAGGGAGCACCCAGAATGCCAGCTTCAACTTGAAATGGCTCAAGTTACGAGAGGAAGAGTAATTAGGTGCAGATAAGCTTTGATTCTCATCCACTGCCCCCACCCCAGCCGCACTTCCCACCACCCTGTCCTTGTCTCTGAGTGGTTCTTTGTACAATCACACAGATCCCTGAAATATCTTAACAGTCATAACCTCTTCCTCTTTCCGAAGCCTGAGAGCTATTAAGCATCGCGATCATCATTAATGCTAGAGGGCAGGACGAGGAAAGAAGCAGGGTTTCTGCCTCCAGAGTGAGCTGCTGAGCCTTGAGGACCCAAACCAATTCTGGCGTCTATGTCATGCTCAGTGAGAAATGCAGTACATACAGTGCAGAAGGGGGAGGAGTGGCTTTAGTCATCCGCTGTCATTCCTTTCACTGGGTCCTTCTGTCTCATCTGGAACAGAAAAAACAGGAAAAATTGAAGGTTTTTGCTGTTGATGGAACTCTACAACAAATACATGCCTCCTTCTTCTCAATCCTGCCAGTGGATAGGGTAGAGCATTTGTTTTGTGCACAAAGCACATCAGAAGAACAGAATTCTGTGTACATACAGCCAAAGTCATACTATTTATAG